CCTTTAAGATGTGTTTTGGAGCCTCAGATAATCTTTTGTATCTTCCATTTACTCTCCTGATGTTTCTTTTTTTTTTTTTTGAGAAACCTGATAGTGCTGGGGTGTCTTTTTAAAGGTATTTGATTTTGAGGCTAATTGTCAAGTTAAAACATACATGAAAGTTTGTATTATAGTTGAAATGTATATAATTGCTCAAATACATCGTCACTATTGCAAGAATTGCAAGTTTGTTTCCCATCCTTACTCTGTTTACTGTCAAGAATCTAAATTCTATATCCTGTTCTGTATGTATCCTGGCATACGTAGCTTTTCATTAGAATTACATTTCTTAAAGAATTTTTAAGAATACATTTTAAAGAGTTAGGAAAGACAATTCACAAATGTTAAAATTTTACTCTTAGATTTCTACAGTTTTTTCCTCTTCATATATTTTTGTTGAGTTTCATGGTTGATTTTGGCTTTTAATTCTACAAGCCTAACTTTTTCTTTAAATCACATTTGAACACAACACCTAATGCCTTCATGAAGTTATTGTCATATATTTTGGTAGTTATTTTGATATTTCTACATATGGCTTTATTTTGACCTATCTACAGCTCAGAGTTAACACACTATCAGTTGTCAAACATTTTTTATATACTTAATTGTGTTTTGCATAGGTTACATGAAATTGAATAAAGTTGATCCTTGTCCTGATTATCAGTGGGACAGGAAACAGGCTCATAAATAAATAATACTTGCAATACAATGTGTTAAATGCTGTAGCTTAGTAGGGCCCCTGTAACTGGCACTAATTTGTCTAATTCTAATGGATCTACTTAGAATAGAACTGTTCACTCAGCATGTCCTAGAACAAGCTGATTATCTGGGGTTTTTTCCACCTGTATCCCCAAACAATTCCAGTTCTGGGACTCCCTTTCTTGTGTAATCATCAGTCATCACCATTCTTGTTGATTTTGCACTTGAATTTCCTCAAGGCTGTTTATACCTTTCTTCTTATCCCATTGCCACAGTCAAGTTCACACCCTTATCTATCCTTTGCAACGGTGTCTTCCTGTCCTCTGTCTCTCTCTCACCCAACTCATTGTTTCACTGTTACTAGAATTATTTTTCTAAAATTGATCTAAATGGGTCGCCTTCCTGTTCAAAAACCTTCAATGGCTAAACTTGAAATCCTGGTTGCAGCGTGTCAGAACCTTTCACACATTGTTCATTGTTCCTAGCCCATCTTTCAACCATGCTTCCTCCGCAGCCGCCCAGTCCCAAGTTTTCCACAGGACAATACAGCAGTCCCTGACCAGCTCCTGTGCACTTCTATGGTTTATTTTGACATTTGTACAGCTCAGAGTTGAAATTTGGTAACCACAAACTGTTGGTTGTCCTTGTGCATGATATTTTCTCTTTTTTGGTTCAGCAAACATTTTTCGAGTGACTGTTATGCTAGGTGCTGTCTTATGCTTAGGCTATAACAGCATTAATACAGATATTCTTCCCACAAGAAGCTCCTAGGCAAATGACAAAGTTATATTCCCGAGATGCTTTTTTTTTTTCCTCTCATCTGGCAGAATCCGCTGCTCTTTCACAACCAAACCTTTCCTTTTACCTCACCTTTTTCCCATAGAACTTTGCATGAATCATTGTGAGAAAATCACAGGCAAGCCAACTGTGATGTCATTGTGTGAGAAATACTAAAAGCAGTTGCCTGTATGTCAGTAAGACAGTTTCTAGGAAGAAATAAAGGCAGTCAGAAGATCTGTGGTGGTGTTTTTTTAAGCAATCACCAGATGATTTGATTTGGCCTAGCACTTGGCAGGAAAATCAACTCATGTTCAGTTTACTAAAGATAAACAGGTGACATCAACAAATTTCTTTTTCTTTCTGTAGCTACTGGGCATATGGCTGCCCAGCTACTACTATACATGCCTCAACCACCCTGCAGTTAGGTCTGTCTGTAACCACGTGACCATTTTTCCCAGTGGAACATGAACAGTTATTATGTGCACTTTTCAGTCCTGATCCACAAAACCTTCACATGCCCCTTTCCTGCAGCTCTCTGATTAGAAAGCCATGGCCCAGAGCTACCCTTTCTTGAACTCACCTGTTGTAGAGGCTGAGTCTCTGAATGAATATGGACTATGGCCTCCTACCAACCTGGAATATTTGCTCTGAAGCCTTACTGACGTAAGTAGAAAAAAAGTGCTTATTGCACTTGAGCATTATTCTTTGGGTGTAATTACAGCAGTTTGTCCTGCCCCAACTTGAAATAGTAATTTTAATGTGAAGAACTGCCCAAGATGCTCATTGACTTTGTTCTTCATTAACTTATTATGCTCCCTTTTAAAAATGAACAGCTTGTCATCAATGACCAGCCCTGACACTGATGCCATAACCTGAGTTCCACTGTTGGGGAAGGTCATTATGCCTCTGACCCTCTCTCCTATTTTTCTCAAATTTCTCAAAAGCGTAATTCCTCTTTGACTTAGGAATTGGCTCAAATTCATTTGAAATTGCTTTTGCCAAGATCACCAATGTAGATCACTGATACTCTTGCTAATAAAGTATCCTTATTTGACTGGACTAACATGTGGTTGCATACTCCTTTCTTTCTGAATCTCTACATTCTTTTAGTTCTAATTGTGTTTTGCTTATCATTTTTTCTTGGTCTCCTTCACTGATGCTTCTTCCATGCCGACTCCCTAAAAAGCAATGTTGCTGAGGGCTTAATCTGATTGGAGTTATCTAATGTTAATCTATTTTACACCAATTAACTTTTTATTTGCTTGGTGTATTTTTTCCAATCCTGTCATTTTCAATTCTTCGGTGTAATTTTTAAAGTATAATTTCACTTAGCTGAGGTATCTAAAGCAATTAAATCTATAGAATGAGAAAGTAGAATGGTGGTTACCAGGCGCTGAGGGGAGAAGGACAACAGGAGTCGTTTAATGGGTTATAGAGTTGCAGATTTACAAGATGAAGAAGTGCTGGAGATCAGTTTCACAACAATGAGAATAAACTTAACACTACTGAACTGTACACTTAGAAATGGTTAATATGGGTCTGTTTTGTTTGGTGGGAGTATGGGCAAAAAGGTGAACGGGAATAAGCGGTACAAGCTTCCAGTTATAAAATAAGTCACAGGGATATAATGTATACCACAGGGAATAGAATCAAAATATCATAATAACTTGGCAGAGTAACACTTGGTTACTAGACCTATTGTGATGATCACATCATAAGGTATACAAATGTAGATTCCTTATGTTGTACACCTGAAACTAATAATTAGGTCAACTATAATGTTCACAAATTAAAAATGGTTAAAATGGTCAATTTTAGGATATTTTTTACCATAATAAAAAAAGTCCGTTATAATCAGAATATACCTGAAAAATTTCCCAACACGGTAGAGGTTTGTTTTTAATAGAGGAGTGTAAGCTTTTACCATTTGAGATTGCTCATATATATTTGGAATTATTTCTGCCATTTTATTTTCTGCTTTCTATCCATTTTCTTTGCTTCATTTATTTTTTCCCCTTTTCTGACTTCTTTTAGATTGCTGAAATTTTCTGTGTTCACTTTTCTTTTTTCTTGCTAATTTGGAACCTATTGTTTGTATTTTTATTCTTTGGGAAGCTACCACTAAAAGTTTAGCAGGCATTTCTCTCTCTCTCTCTCTCTCTCTCTCTCTCTCNGTCTTAAAAGCCAAATGTTTAAAAATCATTTTATTAGAGAAATCTAATCCTAACTCTTGCTTTAAGAACTGTATTTTAAGAATAATAACAGGTGCATAAATAAATAAAAGCACAGGGTTGGTTCAAAACCCACTTCTGACACTCCCTATAGAACTTCCCTCGTAGGTTATTGTGAACATTAAACAAAATCATAATGGAAAACTACATGGTGCTTGGCATATGTGAAAGGCTCGACAAGTACAAGTTATTGAAGTTATTTTCTTACACTGTGTCATGTTTTCCCGCAAGTGTTTATTGAGTATCTGCTTTGTGGTTGGGAGGGAAGAATATTTGTTTTCAATTTCATGGTTTATTCAGTGATGAGACAAAAAAATAAATTAATAGTTATGAAGTGCTTGGCCAAGGTAACAATAGAGGGTGTAGAGATGGCACAGCAGATTTGAGCATGAAAGTGGATGTTCTGGTTAGACTCATTTGGTTGCAAAGAGCAGAGGCCCACGCTCATTCAAATGTAGCAGGTTGACTGAAAAGACATTCACAAAAGGCTAAAGGAGCAGAAATGGAGCAAATAGTGCCACACCACCTGGGTGCCAGGGCTGGAGGCTCATCTGCTGTCAGAGCAGCTCTAGAGGCCACCAGCATTACTGAAGCACCTTCTGCACATTTGCTTCTTTCAAAGTCCACCATCCACCCTTCACCTGTCCAGCTCCTGCGTCCCAGGCACATGGCTTATCATGGCATCCCTAACCCTAGCTCTTGTCCTTCAGCTGTCGTGGCCACTACCAGCTGTCACATCGTTTCTGGATTGTTTAGCTCAGATACTCACAATAGGATTTTTTTTTTTTTTTGACTGAGCCCATCTTTGATCTGGGCATTAAGAGGTCATTGGCTAAGTGCCAGTCTGTGCTCCTGGTCATCTGTGACTTTGTGGAGGAAGATGCTGATGGCATCATGTGGTTCAGGTCGCGGCTGCTTTGGCTTTGGCTGCAGTATCCACACCCAGATCAGTTTCTCTTGGAAACAAGCTGGGGCCAACAACCAGGTTACACTTCCAGTACAGCGGTTCATCAAGCCCGTTTTTAGTAAAATGTCACACGTTCACTCAATTACTAATCCAGGGCTTCAGTACATTTTTTAAAACCCTAGATTGCTGCAGTTTTTTTTTTCTTCGTATGATACTCTCTCCAAAGTTTCCATCTATAAATACGGAAAATACCAAAGTGGAGAGAATGTTGAATAGTAATTGAATAAAATTGGTTCAGTGACGTAAGCTATCTGTTTTAAAGGGACATGCCATATTGACAACAGCAGTGAAGCTGATGTGGAAGCTGCCACAGATCCGTTCCTTTGTCCCTTTTTGGGACCCTCAGGCCCTGTGTATTTGAAGGGGAATGTATATGGCTCGGATCCTTTTGAAGCCTATCATACAGGTATGTGGTTTTCTTACCTGAGTTCTGTTTCCTGAGAGACTTATAGAAGCACTGACCCTTATCTCCTTCTGATATTGTCCCCAAATTAAAAAGGTTGTGGTCCTGACCTGAGAACCGCTTTAATGGACCACTATGAGCCCAGTTACGTAAAGAAAAAGGAGTGCTACCCATGTGCTCATCCTTCGGAAGAACCCTGCGAACAGAGCGTCAGTGACATAGGATGGCCTTCACACGTGAGGAAGTTAATCAACTCCACTTACTCTCAAAATGAAGGACCTGGAATGAAAAACGCGTGTCTAAACAAGTCCTCCCTAGATTTTAGTCCAAGTTCAGAGCCAGCATCCGTTACTTCAAGTAATTCGTTCCTGGGTAAGTTTTATTAAATGATGAGCTCCCTTGACTCAGGACTCATTCCGCATTACATGTCAGAGAGCAGTGAGAGCTTTGAATGCCAGACTGGTGAAAAATGGTTTTTAATTATGCCGTGATGACATTCTGTTGGTTAGTATACATGTTTCTAAAAGCAAAGTCCGACATGGAGGATTTTACTTTATTATCATGTGTTTAATCTACAGCTAAGCCCAAGGAGCTTTTTGGGTAACACTGTGTGTGGCATCATCTAGAACACACGAGCTTCAGGAGTGACTTAGGAGCTCCGTTTGTCAGCCATATGGAAAAAGTGGTTTTGGGCTACAACAGCCTTTGGGGTGGAGTTGAGTGCAGTGCATGATTGTGGTTTGGGATGTCTGGTGGCTGACAGCGGAACCCGCAGCCCAAGGGTGGACGGCGTCCTTCCTGGCAACAACTGTTCATGAGCCAAGCTGGAGCACCNTTTGTGAGGCAGGTATACAGTTTTATAGTAGGATCCTTGCCACTTTCTCATTTAATTATTTGTATCTTCCATGGTAGAAGATTTTGTATATGATACATTAATGCATTCAACAAATGATAGCTGGGATCTGACACAGAACAATTTTGAGTTTAAAATGTAGGGCAAAAACCCATACCTAAAGTCATAGTACATTAAAGCCAAGAGGGACTTAAAAAAAGAAAGAGGAATGGTCAGATTACAAAGAGATTAACTGATTTGCCCAAGATCTCAGATAATTACTGAGGAAACTAAAAAGTGACTGGAAAATAGCAGAAAGACCTTCGGTCTGAAGATCAGGTGACATGTATTTCATCCTGACTCCATCATTTCTGTACCTGTGTAACCTTGAGAGTCACCTAATCTTTCCATCTCAACTTTAGATCCCTTGTCTTACAATTGGAAATAACCTCTGCCTTACTTATGTCAGCGACATTTGTAAGTAACAACAACAACAAAAAAAGAGTGAAATTGAATCTCTAAAACTTCGTAGCGCTAATGCCCACATTATTTTTCTGATTTCAGTGCTCCCTTCTTTCACCAAGACCCCCATGGACCTTACCATCCGTGCTGGGGCCATGGCACGCTTGGAGTGTGCTGCCCTGGGGCACCCGGCCCCGCAGATAGCCTGGCAAAAGGATGGGGGCACAGACTTCCCCGCCGCGAGGGAGAGACGCATGCATGTTATGCCTGAGGATGACGTGTTCTTTATCGTGGATGTGAAGATAGAGGACATCGGGGTGTATAGCTGCACAGCTCAAAACAGTGCCGGAAGCATTTCTGCAAATGCGACTCTGACTGTCCTAGGTAAGTGGGTATTTTCAGAATCTGTGATGTAAATTAGCCTTAGAGACGCTAGCTCCCCCAAAGGCCCTAAGTGTCAGAAGCTGTGAGGGTAAGAGGTAAGCCACAGGACACTGCCCTTTCCTAGAGAGAACAAATGGCTTCTCAGATGCTTTGCAGTCAGGAATGCATTACATACATCTTCAAGTCTTTGGCCAGTGAGATGAATCTGCTGCCTCTTTTCCAGGGAGAGGGGAAACGCTTTCCCTTTCTTGCAGGGGTAGCACCCTCATTCGCTTTCCCCATCATGCATTCTCCACCAGTACCTTAACACTATGAAGAACATATGAGAAAATAAACATGAACAAATTAGGAAGGACCTGTTCTTGTCTCAGCCTACCATACCACTCTGGAAATCAGTTTGGTTTTTATGTTTTACCTAAACACTTTTTAAAAATGTGAATATGTTAATCATATGGGTATCTTTAAAGGAGTTGAAGTAACCTGTTAACACCAGATAATAAAAGTAAATTATTTTCAGAATTTTAATATAGGCCTGGATACTAGCATTAGAAAGTTTCTCTTTAAAAGTATAAATGTTTTGATGTTTTTTAATGCTTTAGTGCTTGAAATTATTTTTATCCATTTTCTATTTCTGAAAAATATCTAAAATGTTTTGCTTTGCCCCACTTCCATCATTCCCTAGTCTTGTTAAGAGTGAAGGAGATTGAGGTAAAAATAGTAAATATTATCCTTAATGGTGTTATGAGTAAATGACAGCTGAATAATATAATCCCAAATGTTGTACATGTTTAGGCTCTTAAAGAAGCATGCATATGAAGTTGTGGGAGAATAAACTTTTAACTTCCAGTTTTAATAAATTCAAGTGTTTGGTTTTATGCAAAACCTAATTCCACTTAAGAGATAAAAAAAAATAACCTGTCATTTCAGAAACACCATCATTTTTGCGGCCCCTATTAGACCGAACTGTTACCAAGGGAGAAACGGCCGTCCTGCAGTGCATTGCTGGAGGTAGTCCTCCTCCCAGATTGAACTGGACCAAGGATGACAGCCCTTTGGTGGTCACTGAAAGGCACTTTTTTGCAGCAGGCAATCAGCTGCTGATCATTGTGGACTCGGATGTCAGCGATGCTGGGAAATACACATGTGAAATGTCTAACACCCTGGGCACCGAGAGAGGCCACGTGCGCCTCAGTGTGATCCCCACTCCAACCTGTGACTCCCCTCAGATGACCGCCTCATCGTTAGATGATGATGGGTGGGCCACCGTGGGCGTGGTGATCATAGCGGTGGTTTGCTGTGTGGTAGGCACGTCGCTCGTGTGGGTGGTCATCATATACCACACCAGGCGGAGGCACGAAGAGTGCAGCATTACCAACACAGGTGTGTAAGCAGAGGCTTGGCACAGGCTGCAGCAGTCGTGTGTGTGTGTGTGAGCCTGTGGTAATTTTCTTCTAGAATGTGTGTCTCGCAGACTGAGGCCATGTCAGAAGGGTGACTCATTTGTCTCAAGCTGCAGAAATACGGTTAACTAAAAATAACACCCTGGCCCAAAATCAAGCTGATGTTTAAAGATTGATACTTTTTGTTAAAAGCTCATCACCATATCCTGTGGGCTATGAGATACAGTGAAAATCAGAGTTAAACAGTCTTACTCTTTTACAAGATGGTAATGGAGAATCAGGAACCAACCCTTCAGGTCTGAGGTGTAGCGTCTGCTGCAGGTTTTGTTTTGTCGTGTGTGCATATGTGCATGTGTGTTTGCAGGCATCCAGGTAGGACCCTGGTGATGTGTGGGAGAGCAGCCATGACTTGACAATATATGCAAACTCCTATATCAATAAGTAATAGTAAGTCAGGAATATGGCAGAAATCAAGCTTGATTCAAGAGCTTAGATACTGTCCCGTGAAAATTTCTAATCCTTTTATCTTCTTAAACATTGGTAGTTCTTGAAATTTGGGGGACATCGCACAGGTGATAAAGTAGAAAATCAGTTCATGCTTCCCAGAGCAGCAGAGCCCTCCCTTGCCTTACCTGAGCACTGCAACAATCAAGATGGTTTTGCAGGNAAAGTAACAGAGAACTAAAAATAAATGTTTGGAATGAAAGAGTTGCTTAGCTCTAATTATAATGTAGCTGACAGTGAGCGGCCTGATTGTCCACGCTGAACTCCAGGCTGAAGCCAGGCTCTCGCAGTGAGCTGGGAGGTGCTTTTTCCTTCACTACAAGATTATTTTTTTGTACTCTACATACACATTACTGCTCTTAATATGCATTCTGTTTTTGGTAAATGGGGTGTTAATTGCTGCCTTTAGTGATATTGATTATCATTATTCATGTTGGATTTATAAAAAAATTTTGCTGCTCCTTATGTGTGGAGAACATGGGGACGTTGCATTTCCTAATAGTAACATTTAATGATGGCCCATGAGCCTGGAAGTTTCTCAACTGATTTTTTTTCTTGTATTTATATTTTTAAAAGCACAAGGGGTGTAGGATAAACTGTATTCCAAAAATAGCAGTCTCCTCTCAGTTAATGATTGATAAATAGATCTCAGTCTCTATTTGCAATGAATGAAGTCCTTTATAAACATGCTCCCAGGCTATCGTTTCAACACTGGGGCGAGCTCGTCCATCTGTGAAACATACACAAAGGGTAAAGCCTAAGCTATGTTTGTTTTGAGTATCTTGGTGTTCAAATCTGAGGAGCATTTGGACTCTCAAGCCTTAAAATTGTTTTGTTTCCTCCTCTCCATTTTGAACAGATGATTTTCCTAAACCCCAGATCACGGTTCAGCCAGAAACACAATCAGCAATAAAAGGTTCCAATTTGAGCTTCATCTGCTCGGCTGCCAGCAGCAGTGATTCCCCGATGACTTTCGCTTGGAAAAAAGACAACGAACTCCTGCATGATGCTGAAATGGAAAATTATGCACACCTCCGGGCCCAAGGTGGCGAGGTGATGGAGTACACCACCATTCTCCGGCTACGCAATGTGGAATTTACCAGCGAAGGGAAATATCAGTGTGTCATCTCCAATCACTTCGGTTCTTCCTACTCTGTCAAAGCCAAGCTTACAGTAAATAGTATGTGATATGACTTTGCCTTTTGCATTTAAAGACTCCTTTTAGAAACAGAAAGCACCTGGTTTCCTCTTTGTCTTATTCCTCCTCCTGTCCTCTGCTCTTATAGTTCTCCACCTAACCCTTTCTTTCCCGACCTCTCACTCCACAAAATGAAGAGCCTTGGGTATTTGTATCTAAGCAAGCAGTTTTTGTGTTGCAGACCGCATGTGTAGTGTGGCTGATAGCCCAGAGATGCCACAGACACTTTTTGCTCGTTGGGAGTTCACAATGTACTAATTTGATGTGGGGGACCGTGAAGTANTATGGACCGCCTTGCTGCCGTCTTCTGACTTAACTGTTTGTTTGAAGGAGGTTTGGGTGACTGGCCATCCAGTTGGTGCAGCAGTTCAGGTTGCTACAGAAGGATGGTACAAAGCAGAATTTGGAAGGGCAGACCAGTATTGCTGGACTTACTGAAACAGGCTATTTTCAGGTGGAAACTAGCCCAAAGGGTTTGTCATCCGACCCATTCCATTTCTGGGAAAGTGTAATTAGTGGACCAGTGGAGTATTATTAACCTCTGCTTCAGCTTTCTAAACCTTCTTGACTCTCCCAGCCTCTTTTCTCTGCTTCCTTCTATCTTCTGTGGCCACTTGTCTCATTCAAAATCCCTTTTGTATACTCTGACCCTTGTAAAGAAAAACAGAGGAGTAATCATCGTGGAAAGAACCTCAAACTGCTTGGAAGTACTAGTTAAAAATACAGTCAACCCAACATATTTGCTTGTTGTATAAATGCCCTGCCTGAAGTGTTTGTTTGTTTTAGCAAGTACATCTTGTCTAAACACTTTACTGTCTTTACAGTAGTGAGTTGTGTTTGGCAGAATAGGCTACTGATTAAGAGCATAGGTTTCGAAATTGAACATAATTGGGTTCAAATCTTATCTGCCCCTGGCAGGCTGAGCAAAGTAGTAATGCCATCTTCTTTTGGGTCTCGGTGAGGAATAAAGGTGATAATATATGTGAAGTACTTAACACAGTCCATATCTTAGAAAGTATTCTATACATGATAGTTTTTAAAAGCCTAATTATGAGAAATTTTATTTGTGTATTTAAAAGTTACTAATGGCTAATTTGAATAATGAGAAATTCAGTGATACAGCAGAACGACTTGGGCACCTATGAGTCACATAACCTGTATGTAGCGATGTAAAGTGAATCTCTCTCTCACCGTAACACAACCAGCCTCTGATACAAAAACCCTGTTCTTCACCCCAGGCGTCCTAATGCATTCTTCTGGGGTCACCCGACTTGTGCATTTCGGTACACAGAGTATTTGTTAGGTGAACGGTGTGGGCACTGAGGGCCCATCTTGGCCTGAAGGCATGCAGTGACTGTAGTTCACGCTAACGTAATGTTTGATTTGTTTGTTTTCAGAGACCTGAGTGACAACGCAATCATGTCATTACAAGGCAATGCATTTTCACAAATGAAGAAACTTCAACAATTGTAAGCTTTTGTTTTCCTTCTAAGAGTTTTAAACAAAGCATAGATGGGGAAACTATCATGGGAATGTATCATCTTCTAGTATGTGTCTATAAAATGTGTTTAGCATGTTCTTCATATTACTTAACCTTAATGACAGAAAGCAAGAGCGATGAAAAGAAAATTTGTTCCTTGTGTTGAAAACAGGAGTTTCTTTTTTTTTTTTNTTCTTTGGGAAGCTACCACTAAAAGTTTAGCAGGCATTTCTCTCTCTCTCTCTCTCTCTCTCTCTCAACAAAAGGAAAAGCTTCTCCATCTTTCTCTCAAACAAGATAAAGATTTAACCACCTTTATCCTACATGCTGAGTTCCCACAGCTTCCTACCACCCCCACCATCTTCACTGATGTGTCTAGAATTTTTTTCCATGTGAGCTATAGATTGTCAATATATTTTACCATTTCTTCAATCATTTTATTTTAACATTTAATTTCACTAATTTTGGTATATTTTTCCATTAATGACCTATATTCCTTAGGACTTCTTTCAACTTGGTGAAAGCTATTATACATTTTCATGGCTTTAGTGGGTCTAAAGATATCTTCGTCTTACCTTCACTCTTGAATTATGGTTTAGCTCAGTATTATATAAAGTGTTAAATTGATGGTAGCTTTTAAGACTTTTCACTTTATCTTTCATACTTTTTAATTTTACTGTGATGGGTCTACATGTGGGGTTTTAGTTAACGTACCTGACACTAAGGATGCACTTTTAATCTGAAAATTCATGTCCTCAATTCTGGAAAATTATTTTTTAGAAAATTTTTTATCTGTCTTTCTGTTTGTTTTTGAATTCTCAAATCCCTTTAAGATGTGTTTTGGAGCCTCAGATAATCTTTTGTATCTTCCATTTACTCTCCTCTGTGTTCTTTTTAGGCAAATGCTCAGTAGTATCTGAATTCTCTAATTCTTTAACTGCATTCTATTATAGGAAGTCCTTTTTTATATAAAAAAAGTCAAGGACTCTTTTATACATACATGAGGGCAAGCTGTTTCTGTTTTTAATCATTTCTTCTTGAGTTATATCTGCTAATTTGTGTTTCACGATGTTTTTTCTAGGTCTTACTTTTTTGTGTTTCTAAGAATCTTAAACAAAATGATTTCAAAGTCACTTGACTGTTCCGTTATTTTTATTTTTTCGAGACTGACACTAACTTCTGCTTGTTGATCTTGTTGACTGTCCCTTTTAGCGTTAGTTTTGGTTAAGTGCTTTGGAATTTTTCTTTGCTCCTTTTAGGACCACTTTTCCCTCTAAATATAGTGGTTATAGAGGGGGTACTGCTGGACCCTCCTTGGGGGCACTGCTGGACCCCTAATCCAGAAGCAGGTTTTATATTAGAAGCTAGGGATGATTGGGGGCTCTTATCAGATACAGTCACAGGAGCTGGCAGGCAGCTTGGTTCAAGTCCAGTCTGCTTCCTTCAAGCACAGCAAGTACACAGATGACAAACACAGATGACAAAGTGGTCACTGCTTTTTCCGTTGCATCCCACAGATCGAGTGTCCAGTTTCAGGTGGTGAGCCTGGCTTCGTTTCCTTTGACACCTGGGGAAATTTTGTTCCTGGTCAAACTTCTGACTCTATCTGCCAATTTTCTGACTTAGAGCTTAATAGAACTGTAACTTTAGCCCATTACTGCTGTGTGTTGTTGTTTTTATTGTTTTGTTACTTGAGTCTGGTCCATAGATATGTTCATGTCATTGTTGAGTATGGCTCTGTCATGTATATATAACACACACACACATCCATCCATACATACATACCTAGATGTTTATATTTGCTAGGTGAAGACTGAAGCAAGAAATCATAATGTCATCCTGACCAGAAAGACGCCTTCTAAATGAAGTGGTAAGTGGCTGTGAGGGAGAAACTGAAGAAAATATCAAAGTTCTAGCTTTTGTGATTAGATGGATATTAGCACCATTAACTGAGATACAGAACACAGTAAGTTTGGTGAGAGAAGATAATAAATTTTGTTTTATATAATTTGAGGAACTTAGTAGAAAACCAAGCAGAAATCTCAATAGACTCTTAAAGCTCAGGAGAGTAAAAGATGCTCCTGATGAAGTGATGTGAGCCATTAGCATGTACGTCAGTCTAAGTCCTGAGAGGTTATAAGATGAAGAGAGATTACAGAGTGACTAGATAAGAGAACCAAGAGTATAGGGGACAAATAGATAGAGTGGAATTAGCAATGCAGCCTGAAAAAAAAAAAAGTTTTCAGAAGGGTAAAAGAAAAATGAAGAGCAAAAAAAGATTAAAAATGTATTAATTGCCTGATATTCATTCATTCATTTAACAAACAATTATTGAGCACTTTTTATATGTCAAGCAATTATTCCATTTGCAGGCAGTGACAAGGAAAACATAAATAAATAAAAATTGCTGCCCTCTTTGAACGTATTGTGGAGGA